ATAACATTTTCAGTTCCACAAAGAATTGTCATAGACATTCATATACATGAAATCAATAAGATAAATGTTTCATCTTGGGCATTTTTGCTTTCAATAAGTAAATTATAAAGAAATTTTAATGAAATTATGTATAAGATCTTTAAAATTGTTTATAAAAATAATATATTAAGTATGTATATTAATAAAATATATGTATATAATTCATCGGTTCGGTTCGGTTATTTCTTCGATTTTTTCCGAATAAAACCATAACCAAACCAAATACTATCGGTTTTCAAAAATCTAAAACCAAACCAAACCAAACCCAAATAAAATCGGTTTTATTTTATCGGTTTGGATCGGTTTTTATCCAAACCGTGAACACCCCTAATAGTATGTATTAATTTTGGATAGACTTGTAATCTATCTTTTTCTTGATATTTCATTTCATGTACAAATACCTTGAATCATAGTAATATATGTTCTATTACCATGGGCTACCTTTTAAAACCATATTCCAAAATTTTCAAATCATCTAGAAGATACAATTAGATAAACCAAGTGATCAATGATGTAACTATAGAATTTTTTTGACAATAAGCATTAATTAAAAATAAATTAATATTATAATTTATTATCCTATCATTAGTTAAACTACACTAATAGCAAGCAAAATAGGCATAATACATAATGGGAAGCGGGCTAGCCCCCGAAAAAGCCCCGCCCGTAAGTTCCTTTGTCGTTGGGGAGTTTTAAAAAGCTACAATTTTTTTTACTTACTTTTCTTGTTGCATAATTCAGATAGATAGAAGGGATAATGTGTCTTTTAACTTGATTTATTTTCACATTTATGCCCTCCTACTCTGAGTGCACAAGTAGACACTTAAATTTGTATAAAGTTGAACAAGTAGACCCATGAGTTTTATGTGCATAATACAAGTAGATAATCACGTAGGACACAAATTGACATATAGGATGCCACATATGACACAAAATTTCTCGTTATCTTACCTTTCTTTGTTTTGGTTTCAAAATCAAATATTCGACATCTACATTGAAGTTTGACTGAATTTGATTTAGCACATTCCAAGGTTTATCGCTGGAGGGTAACGCTCCCAATAAGATTTTTTTCCTCCTCAAACTGAAGAATTCTAGTTAGAGAGAAAAAAATCTCAAACATCCTAACACAATTCATGTTGGTTTTATTATCTTACCAAATTAGAGAGGGAGAAAATAAAATCTTGACAATAAAAAATATATCATATCAATAAATATAATCACTATGTGAAAAAGAGAAACAAAGAGAGTAAAATTTTGAGCAATTATTTAATTTAATAAAATATTATTCTTATCACATATGAAATACACTTGATTTGATAGGGGGATGATCATAATTGGTTTCCCCAACTTTTAGGAAAAAATTGAAAAATGTCCCATTGCAATGACAACAAAGTGATAATCCAAGAAAGGGAGTAATAATATAAAATATGAAAGTGACCATAAAAGAATCTTATTTTTAAAAAAAATTAAAAACATATATAATTATAAATAAAAATAAATACAATGGTCCAACCCAAACATTCCATGTTGTCTTGTGTTTATGCCAAAACACAAATTAAAAACATGTATTATGAGATTAAGCCAGTATTTGGTTCAAGTTAATACAAATTAAAATAAAATCTACTTGACTTCAATAGCCTTTATATTTGGTAGTAAATTTCATCTGGACATTTAAAATTATGATTTATTTTAATTAAGTACTTAAATAATGATAAAATGTTCCTATTAGAAATCGTTAGTTCATGTCATCTCATTTATGTATTAATCATAACAGATCATCCGATAAATTTAAAGAATTGTTTGTATAGATCAATTGATCGATCTTGTGAGAATTATGGAAATATTTTTTATATATCAATAATTGAATCATGTGCACTATTATGGAGATTCTAATGTAAAAATCAATGGGATATGGATGCTGCCATCATACAAATTTTAGTATTCTTTATGAGTTTAAACTAAGAAAAATCTTTTGATTCTATGTGTGATCACCCTCCCCCAGCCACCACCTCCCTACTCCCCCCC